GGGAGGATGGCCCAATGGAGAGACTTGGAGCCGAAGCCGGCCTCGGGAGCGGCCCAATAGAAGCCCTAAGCTCTGCCAGCTGAGGGATAGGTTTCACCACTGCTGCGCCTCCATCTGTACGGAATTGTGTGGTCAAATCTGAGGGAGAGGAACCCCCTTTAGGCGGCGGGAGCAAGTCCGACAGTAATCCCGGCGGCAAAGAACCAAAAAGGACCGGCCGGTGGAGATGTCCTTCTTCCGCCACAGCAGGGGCCGACGTCGAGTGCGAGAGGACCGGAGAGGCGCCATGGCCGACGAGAGGTTCAGAGGAGGGGGTAAAGTAGTCGCCGTAGAGCTGCAAAGAACCAGAGTTCGGCGCTCAGGAGACCAACAGAGAGGACGACGGAGGAGCCTTGTCGACGGCTGAAGCTGGTAAGTCCTTCTTCTGCTCTGAGCTGAGGACGTCGGCGACGGTCGACGGGAGGTCAGAGACCAAGGATGAAGACGGAGCTAAAGCCGGCGAGGGACGTGGGGTTGGAGACGGGGGGGAGACTGCCGGTAGAGACGAGACCTGCGGAGGAGCCATGGGGCTGGGACAGAAAAGAATGGGAAAGGTGGCAGCAGCTTGCCGGAGCAAGCCGCCGGCGACAGCTGTCGGCGGGACGCCGCTAGGATGCGGTGACGTATGTCAGGAAAAGGAATTCAAAAAAAGGATGAGGAACTGAGAGAGAGAAAGAAAGAGAGAAGAGAAAGCATTTGTATGATTTAATAATAAACTAGTACGTACCCCGCACGGGACAGTGATTTTAAATGAATATTTTCACAGCTCAATCCGTTTAAGTCTAAAATCCAACAGAATTATAATTTATTTTCTTCCCCTTTTAACCAGTGTGTTAAGTCTAAAAAACAATAGAATTGTAATCTATTCTCCACCACTTTTAATCATTGTTTTTTAGTCAGAACATTAAACACGAGTATGTTAAGGTTAACTTGTAAAATAGTTAATATATTATTTCATTAACACATTTCAACTAATATAAATTTAATTTTAGTATATTATTTACTAGTACAACACCCGTGTTTACACGGGTGCTTGTTAAAAAATTATTCTTAAATTTTAAAATTAATGAAAAAACTACATTAAATTTAGTTTACTTTTTTACAAAAAAAAAAAAATATATTACTATATATTTTAGAATGATATGTGTTACTTATGACTTACATGTGTTATATTATATTAGTTGTTATAACTTATATCATATAACTACTTGAAATATAAATATATTAGTTGATAAATAATTTTATTTTTCTAATTAATATTAAAAATAATTTTATTATTGTTATAAAGATAAATATACATTATTTTTTTTATACATACAAAATGGATGTTAAATCGAAGCTCATCAAAAAAAGATTAATTTGATATATTACATATGTAAAACTGATAAAAAATACAAAAGTTATTAGCTTTTAAAATATATATACAATTCAATAGTTATAATAAGGAATGATATTAAAATACAATTAATACATGTAACATGACCATAAATAATCAACATATTTATGGTAATCCGAACCTAATTATTTTGGTTTGGAATTAAATTAAAATTTACCCAAGCCTAATAACGAAGCATGTAATTTTGCCACATAGGATTCCGAAGCACCAGAAGCAGCCATGTAGGCTCAGCGCGTTCTGTATTAATATATAGGGAGGATTCCTTGAATGATTGGAGTTTATCAATATTTAATGGAGGATTGGGGTTTTTTTATCAATATTTAAGGGAAAATTTCAAAACTAGTCCCACGGGTATAGGGGTGACATTTTTAGTCCCGACAGAATCCAGAAAATATTAATAGTCCTGCAGTATTAAAAATGATCAAAAGTAGGGCTTTTTTCAATTTTCTGGCCCAGAAAGCCACGTCGCACACACGTGGCGGGACTATTTAGTATTTTATGGATTCTGTTGGGACCAAAAATGTCACCTCTCAAAACTTGTGGGACTAGTTTTGATTTTTTTCTCTTGGCATTGTACTCAGCCACGTCAGATGAATGTGGTCAGGTGTGTACGACGTGACATTCCGGGCCGGAAAATTGAAAAAAAATTCTACTTTTGATCATTTTTAAAAGCTGCGGGACTATTAGAATTTTTTGGATTCCGTTGGGACTAAAAATGTCACCCCCTATACCTGTGGGACTAGTTTTGAATTTTTCCCCAATATTTAATATAATATACATTATTCTCGGAACAATGTTTTTTGTTTGATTTGAAATATTAATTTGAATGAAAAAAAATCTTTAATTGTAGGGATATCTTAATTCAAAATCTCAATTTTTTGGCATAAGAATCTCCAAATTTGTTAGCAATAAAAATGGATTCGTATTGATGAATGAATAAAATTTTGGCATAGGAATCTCTAAATTTGTTACCTTATGAATCTCCATTTTTTTGTAGGATATATTATTAAATTTGGTTCCTAAAGAAAATAAGTGGTTTCAATCAAATAATTCATATATTTCATCCTTCAGAGAAGGAAATTGGCTTATCGGAGAGTCATGAACAAGCTATTAGTTTTTGACATAAGAATCTCTAAATTTGTTACCTTATGAATCTCCAATTTTTGTGGGATATCTTATTAAATTTGGTTTCTAAAGAAAATAAGCGGTTTCAATCAAATAACTCATATATTATTTCAATTAAAGAATATAAACCACCAAACAATAGAAAAGATGTTAGGATTTAGGTCATAAAATAATATAGTTTATTATTATTTAAGAAAAGTAAATCAATATATTTACACAAAAAAATCATAAATATAAATAATTTGTAGAGGATTGAAGTTTATCAATATTTAGTATAACATCAATTATTCTCGGAGCAATTTTTTGTTTGATTTGCAACATTAATTGAATGGGAAAAAATCCGTAATTGTTGGGATATTTCAATTCAAAATCTCAATTGTTTGAAAAAAAAAATCTTTAATTTTGTTACCAATAAAAATGGGATTCGTATTTATGAAATAAATTAAATACTGGCAGAAAAAACTCCAAATTTGTAAATTTAAGAATCTCTAAATTTTTTTTGGATATCTCACTTAAATTTGTTTCCTAAATAAAATAAGTTGTTTTAATCAAATAAGTCAAATATTATTATAAGTTGTTTCAATCAAATAAGTCATATATTATTTCAACTAAAGAATACAAACAACCAAAAAATAGAAAAGAAATTAGGATTTAGGTAATAAAATAATGTAATTTATTATTATTTAAGGAAAAACAAATCAATATATTTACACACAAAGTTCAAAAGTATAAATAATTTATGAAGAATTGGAGTTTATCAATATTTAGTATAACATCCATTATTCTTAGAACAATTTTTTGTTTGATTTGCAACATTAATTTAAATTAAAAAAAAGTATTTTTTTTGGCATAAAAACATCCAAGTTTGTTACCAATAAAAATGAGATTCGTATTTTTAAAATGAATTAAATTTTGGCATAAGAATCATCAAATTTGTTACCTTAAGAATCTCTGATTTTTGTTTTTGGAATATCTCACTTAAATTTGTTTCCTAAAGAAAATAAGTTGATTCAATTAAATAAGTCATATATTATTTCAATTAATGAATATAACCACAAAAAAAAGGAGTTAGGATTTATTTCCTAAAATAATGTAATTTATTATTATTTAAGAAAAGCAAACCAATATATTTACACACAAAATTCATATATATAAATAATTCCTAAAGAAAATAAGTTGTCTCAATCAAATAATTCATATATTATTTCAATTAAAAGAATATAAACCACCAAAAGAAACAGAAAAGATGTAAAGATTTAGGTCATAAAATAATGTACTTTATTATCATTTAAGAAAAGCAAATCAATAATATTTACACACAAAATTCATAAATATGAATAATTTATGGAGGACTGGAGTTTATCAATATTTAGTATAACATTCATTATTCTCGAACAATTTTTGTTTGATTTGCAACATTATTTTGAATGGAAAAAAATTCGTAATTGTTGGGATATCTCAATTCAAAATCTCAATTTTTCGGCATAAAAATCTCCAAATTTGTTACCAATAAAAATGGAATTCGTATTTATCAAATGAATTAAATTTTGGCAGAAAAATATCCAAATTTGTTACCTTAAAAATCTCCAAATTTTTAGAATATCTCACTTAAATTTGTATTCTAAAGACAATAAGTTGTTTTAATCAAATAAGTCAAATATTATTCCAATTAATGAATATAAACAACCAAAAAATAGAAAAGAAGTTAAGATTTAGGCCTGAAATAATGTAATTTATTATTATTTAAGAAAAACAAATCAATATAAATACACACAAAATTCATAAATATAAATAATCTATGGAGGATTTGAGTTTATCAATATTTAATATAACATTCATTATTCACTTTTTTGTTTGATTTGAAACATTAATGTGATTGGAAACAAATTCCTAATTGTTGGAATATCTCAATTCAAAGTTTCAATTTTTGGCATAAGAATCTCAAATTTTGTTACCAATAAAAATGGGATTCGTATTTATGGAATTAATTAAATTTTGGCATAAGAATCTCCAAATATGTTACCTTAAAATCTCCAAATTTTTTGGGATATCTCCCTTATTTGATTCCTAAAGATTAACATGTCTTTTTTTCGAAATTTCGACTAATAATAAGTCAATACTTTATTTTTTAAGTCAAAGTTACTATTTTTATATTTTTCCAACAACCTTTTATATTATTATAGATTAAAATTTACATCTACAAACAAGTTCCATTCAGAACCAATATTTTACATACAGCACATAAATGAACATTCATTCATTTATTCCTCGTTAACACTTCTCAACGCTCACATTTTTTTATCACATCTTTTTATTCTACATACATAACCCAAGCCAAACACTGGCACAAACCCAAGTACACATTATTGACACATACATTCAACTTAAGCACGCGCATGCATGCTCACGGTCCCTTTATTTATCCGGCCACCTTATTTAATCAATTATCAGTTGGCATCTTGATCGTGCGAGCACCCTCATTACCCCGACCGACTTTCCTAAACACAACCTCAAACGGCCTCTCCGACCGCGAAGCCAGAACCAAACGCCTGCCCTGACCGCCCCACCGGATGCTCAGGTCCCTGCACGAGGGCATCATCATGCACATTTCGCACGCCCAGCAATACGACAGCTTGTAGTTGGACCCGTAGGGTTGGATCCTGAACCAGTAGTCCGGGTCCTTATTCGACCCGAGCTCGCCCCCCGTCCGCACGGCCTCACTCCTGGTCCAAGGGTCACGACCCACCGTCCACACGGGTTTCGCGTCGCACCCCCACGTCTCGGCGTCGCTGAACTGGATGTCCAGGTTGGCCGAGACGTTGACGGGCCCGCCGGGAGCGCCGCTGGCTGGCCAGAAGGACGCGGGGAGGCCCGGCTGGAGGTCGGACGACGTCTGGACTACGGGCGGCGGGCAGGTTCCCGGGCGGAGGGAAAGGGAGCCGCCAGCAGCCCCTCGGTAAGTGGAGCTGATGTAGTAGTCGCCTCCCACGACGAGCTCGTCTCCGTTGGTGTCGAGCACGGCGTGTTGTTGGGCGGCCGAGCCCCAGAGGAGGAGGAGGAAGCTACAGGCCGTGAGAGAGATTGTCGAATAAGGAGTCATCTTGGAATTGTTTAAATGGATGTGGCTAATCGGGTGTGGATGGCGAAGAGAAGGCTCGACGTTTAAATAGCCAGCGATGGGGCAATTTG